GTAATAATAATAAAATAAATAATAAGATACAATATCGGAATAATAACTAATAAAATAATAAACTGTTCTATAACAATGCACATTTGACTTTTTAATTAATTTACTAATCATGCCATTCTCTATAAACCCTATTACAACATTTTTTATGCATTGCTTACTAATTTGTGCGTCACTTATTTAATTAATTTATACGTCACCAACCCAAATTATCCCAAATACCCAATCTTCGATCTGACCCATATCGATCATCATGTGTCACGTGATCACGTGATAAAGTACTGATTCGAACCTTCTTATAATTGTTCATTATTACTATATAAAATTTTTTTTTTTTTTTTTTTGTAATGCTATTATTGTTATTTACTTATTGTTCATTGGTTCTATATCCCGGGTAAGCATACTATGCATCGCGCAATTTCACTACAGCACTAAATTAGTTTAAATTAAATAAGCATGTAATTAAAAAATATTTAGAAAACAATTGCATAATATGAATAGAGTTTTGTCAGAAGAGTATAGAGAAAGTCTAAATGCAATTGTTATAAAAAAAGCATATTGGGTGATAAGCAGTATGCATAACAAAATTTCCTTTAATAAAGCAAGCAAAGCATATGCAATACCAAATAGAGAAGATAGCATTGTCACAATGCTAACAAAGCAAGATCCAAATGAAGTAGCCCTTTTGCAAATAACAAAGAAATACTAGAAAAGGCAAAGAAAGAGCAGTCTAAGAAAAAACTAGATTTCATAAACCAGAGCCATAGTAGAATAAGAATAGAAGAGAATAAAAAACAATAGCAAATAATACAAATAGAAAATGAACAAGAAGAGGTATATGAAGTAACACAAAAAAAAAAGATAGAAGATAAAGAGCCTAACAAGAATTTGCAAAGATATACTGAAACCTTATAAGAAGAAAAAAGTATAAAGGTAAGACTAACATGCAATAGTCAGTTAGATGCAAATTTACTCATTCAAAAAAAAGAAAAAAAAGAGCAAATGAAAGAACAAGAGGAAGATATAGAAATGAATGAGAAAGAATTAAGACAAAACTCTATACTAGAAGAAAAACAAAAACAAAAAAAGAAAAAAACCAGAAATTGAAAAAGAAATTGATATAGTAGAAGTACTACTAGAAAAAAATATATGAGCACCTAGCAAGAAAAGTTGTAACCAAAACAACATTTTGTTTGCCAATATACCAGCATATAAAGTGCCTAGAAAAAACTAAAAAGAACATATAAAATTTATCAGCTGGTCATTAAAAAACAATGAACATATTAAAAACATTAAAAAAGTCTTTAAGAGAGAGAATTTATGAATAGAGATAGACTTTGACTGTGAATATAGCAGAAGCAAGACCATACAAAGAATTAACATAAAAGAAAGTAATTAGTATAGAATAATAGCAAAAGAAAAAAAAGAAGGAAAAAAAAGAAAACAAAAAAAGTATAATGAAGAATATTCAAAAGAAAGAAATAATATATTAAAAACAAAAAAACAAGAATGTGAATGGAAAAAGAAAAAAGCAAAGATAAGCAAAGATCACTATAAGACAGACAAGAAGTCTGAGAATAGAAACTACTTAATAATATAAGATTTGCTAACTAATATAAACAAAAAAAGTTAGAATACATCTGCAGAAAATTCAAGAAAGCCCATATAGAAAAATTAAAAGATCAAAATTCAAAGCTCTAATAGTTGTTCAGATAGAAAAAACAGATAAAGAGAAAACTTCATAGGCCATATCAATTAATAATAATAAATTAGTACAGATTACAAAAAGAAGAAAAGATCATGAAGCAAGAGAAAAACAAAAAAAATATATAGCAAAACTAACAGAGCTACTTAAAAATATTTCTGAGGTCTTACTATTGTAAAGTTTAAAAAGTAAAGAAACAAAATCTGTTTATATTTCATTAAATAGAAATGGAAACTAAAGAAAAACTGTAACAATTATTTTTGCAACAGAAAAAGAAATGAAAGCAGCTTAATCAAAGCCAATTATGTACAACAACTTTCAAGTTTTTTAGATTAATAGAGAGAAAAGAGAAACAAGAAGAAGAAAAAGGTTCAAAAAAGAAAGAGGAAGAAGTTGGAACAGATTCAGCCAAACTTTTAATATAGAAGAAAACAGAGATAGAAGAGAAAAACAAAAAAGTGAAATGTATATAAACAAAGAAAGAAATAATAGAAAATTAAAAATAAGAGATTAGTCAATAGAAGAAAGAACTAATACACAAAACCAAAATACCAAAAGTCAAACAAGATGTAAAAACATAAACAAGAAAGAAGAGAAAGATCTCAAAAGAAGAATTGCTGAAGTCAAGACCCAAATGCAAGATAAAGATATATATGTAGAAAACATTCTAGACTGAATTCTAAAAAGATTAGAAAGACTAGAAGAGACAAAAGAAATATTATAAGAAAGTTTGGCTAATTGCTCCTAAAGGCATCCCAGTTAAATTCATGAACACAGATAAGAAGATAGAAAATTTTTTGCAAAGTGAAAAGTAAATCTTTGAGAAAAGAGACTAAGAAGCATCTTCTAGTTTAAATAAAGAAAAAAAGAAAAAAGAAAAAGTAGAAGCAGTAAATATAAAAGTAAATAGGAAACAACTATAAAAAAAAATAGAAAAAAGAAAAAAAAATAAGAATAGCATGTTACAACATTAATAGACTTAAAACCAAAGAATGAAAACTTGAAAGTCTGCTTGGCTAGATAAAAGAAAAAAAAAAAATAATATTAGAAATTACAGAAACTAACCTTATAGAAGGTGAAGAAAAATTTCTAATACATGATGCAAATAAAAAATATGTTGAGTTTTGGAAAAATACAATAATAAACAAAAAGAAAGAATCATATATAGGAATTCTGATTGAAGAGCAGTAGAAAAAACATGTTGGTACAGTTAAAAAAATAAATAAGTATATGATAGAGATTATACTATATTTCAAACAACTAGAGTTAGTGATATTAGAAGTTTATATACCACCAAACAACAAAACTGAAAGAAGATTGATCTAGCAAAAGATAGTAGAAATAGTTTCTAAAAAGAAGAGACAAATAAAAATAATAATCATTGGTAACTTTAATCATATAGCGAACAATATACTAGATAAACAACATTTACAATCAGAAAACTTTAAAAGATTACCTATTTTTAACTGAATAAGAAAACAAAATTTTTGTAATACTTTTAGAGACATGCACTCAACAAGTCAAGAGTATATATAGTCTAATGAAGAAGTGGTAATAAGAATTAATTACATATAGATATTAGAAGAACTAACCTCTAGATTTCAAAAAACGAAGATTGAAGAAGCAAAAGAAATTACTAAAAGTGATCATAAAATAATAAGAGCAGAAATATGGATGAAGCATATAATAGCAAAGAATAATAAAGCTGAAGTTAGAAAAAGAAGGCAGTTAAGAACATTGTATTTATATAATTAAGTAAAAGAAGAGGATTAGAAAAGTTATGTACAAGAGTTGCAAAAACAACTAAAAGTTAAAGAGATATTAAAAAAAAAATAAAAAGAACGGAACAATATAATAAAGAAGAAGTAGATAAAATAAACAGCATATAAGATATAATAAAAGAGATGATTATCATAGCAGCAAGCAAGCATATACCTAAGAAAAAGATATACAACACAGTATCAAACAGAAGATGCAGTCAAAGAAAGCAACAATAAGAAGAAAACATAGTAAAGCTT